GAATATTATTCAACAAAATGTGACTGCATTAATGAGTGGTAGTTACAGTCTATCAGTTTCAAATGATCTACGATCTGGTAAAGTGACACATCAACTTTAATCGCTATACTTAACATTAGAAAGGCAATAAGAAAAGACTGACAGAAGTTTACATAAAGAGAAGAAATCGAAATAATAATACGAATTGAATTGAATAACTTAAATATAAGAATCTAGTTTGAAAAGAACAAGTGAAATGAAGCAATGTAAAGTATGAAATAATGTTAAAAATTTGGAGATACCAACGTGATTGTACTTGATTTTCAAATATAACTAGTAATTATTTTGAGCAATACAACCAAGAAGCCTGTATTTCATAAGATAATTCATTAGGGTTGTCATTAAATTAATGATTGAAACCAATACATGGCACAAATCCATGAAGTCACTAACAACTGGAATGAGTCTTGTTAGTAGGTGTAGACTATTTGATTGGACTCCGCGAGACAACAGCAACCTATGATTAGAGATTTTGAACGATATAGCTCAAAATCGTTTGCAATGGCACAGGTGCCTCCAATCTTTGTGTTCTCTCGAAATATGACCAGTCAGAGTAGAAGATACTCGTAAGTTACTGGTTTTCGATCGTAGGTGTCTCCGAAGCACTGATCGTTTATCTTGGGACTGTCGAGTAAACAATGCTGTTGTTAGGAAACGGGTGCTAGGTAAGGATCGAAGATCAACAGATGAAATGATGAAACTTCATCAGATGAAGTGGTTGGGACATGTGTTGCATCTGCCTAACCACCGACTGCCTCAACGAGCAATGTGTTGTGATGTAGGAATCGGTTGGAAGAAAGCCTGGGGGCGGCCAAACCAAGACAAGGCACAAATCCATGAAGTCACTGTCAAGTGGACTGAGTCATGTTGGTAGATATAAACTACCTGGTTGTGGTCCGCGAGATGAAAGCTACCAATGGTTAGAGACCTTGAATGGCATGGCTCAAAATCGTTTGCAATGGCGCAGGTGCATCCACTCTTCTTGATTTCCCAGATTCTAATCACAACTCCTCATGACCTTCATCTTTCTCTTCTCGAATTTATTTCACTAGATTATACTCCTTGAATAATATCTTCGAACCTTAATCTTTCTGATTACTGCTCATACTTCTACTACCTCTACCACTATGGGATTTGAATTAACAATTGCGTCTCTGTGCTAATATGGTATGGCAACATGAACTGATGTACGTACGTAAGTACGAAGTTCTACGTTGTAACTAATTGACTGACTAAAACTAATGAATAAATCCTATTGTTTAGCTATAGTTATAATTCTACCGATTCAGTTCTATCCTTGATAAAATAAAGTGTTAAAAGCAGCGGTATTTGGTTATGTTTTATGCATGTTCCAACGAAATTAGTCTGTAAAAACACTCTTAATCCACTCTTAATCCCATATATTATTTCAAAATAGCACTCCATGTCCAGCCTTAGTGTTATTAATTTTACGGTTGCATCATATACAAGTACAACTTTACAGTTATCAGCTATTCATTTATTATTTTCCAATTGGGATCATTAATTTTTCAGCTCTCTAAGCTTAGCGAGTTGAAAACAACTTTTCATCCTCGTGAGGAAATTTCCTCAACTACCAACTCATTAGGAATGAGGATACTTTTAAAATAAGTGTAGTCGTGAATGCCTTCTCGTATATGTCCTCATATTAGTCAATGACAGAGACTAATCCTGGAGATTTATATTATATTTAAAAGGAGTAAAACTCATCATCAACAAGATTTAATAGTTACTCATGATTCTCGGAAGACTATATATTAAATAGAACTATACTATCTATATACTTCAAGACGATAAGTGGATTTTCAGACAAGACATCCAAGAAGGTACCTCCTGTTGTATACTTGTAATAAAATTAAATAAAATGTATAAAGGTTTGCATCATAAGAGAAAATGATTAGATGAGGTCCATTCAAATATCCATTCAAAATCAAATTAAAGAAAAAGGCTTTAGTAGTCATTTTGGTAACGAATTGTCAGTCAATTATAAGTCAAATCAAAAACTTTCGTCCTAAAAATATGCCTACTGTCCGATATCGATAATTATGACTGTGTTTAAAAACCTATTGAAACGTTGAAATCTAATTTACGCATATTTAGTGTCTGATTTTCTCAGGCAAGTTATCTTTAAACATCTCTCAAGAATTCGATAAAATTGAATACTGTTATTTATCAGTGATTACTATAACTGTAAATTCATTCTTTTTATTAAACCGGTTAAAGCAAAGATTGAAGTCAGTTAAATTGAATTACATTATGGGGTCGTGAAGATTGTTGAGTTACTTCGTAAGATCATGATGTTAGACCACCATTCGAAACCTGGAAGCACTGGATGGTCGTTTCTTCCAAGCATGGGACCCGTCGGCAACGCGCATCCACGGCTCCTACCCCTCTCAGGATTCGAACCCAGGACCTGCAGTCTTGCGTGCTAGCGCCTAACCTTTGGACTACTAAGCCGGTATCTGACGGTGTTAATGTCTAACTTCAAACGATTCACGGTCTTGAGCAACCTCAAACAATGTCTTCGATGCTCACTGCCTCATGATTTTAATAAGTTACCTAGCAATCTCCACAACCTAGTTTTGCAAATGACTTGACTCACTAGTGATTAGATCCGTGAGGAATCGTCTCTCAGTTCTAGTGAGAAATCGTGATCAATGGAGTTCAGTCCTATTTGGGTGTGAAGCAGTGCTCACAGAAGATAGTGGATGAGATTGAGCAAGACATTGGATTGATCGAAGTTATACATTAACACCTTTAGATACCGGTTGGCTCAGCGGTTTAGAAGGCGGGCGTTCACAAATGAAACTTAAGGTCTTGGGATCGAATCCCGCGAACTGCAGGAGTCGTAGGTGCGCATTGCTGATGAGTCTCATGCCAGGACGAAACGGATCAATCTAGCTGGAAAACGATATTAGTTATTTACTTTGACAACAACCATTTTTTCATCGTTTCATACTCTTCAGTGAACAAATTTCTATCATACCAATCAAGAGAAACTATAAAAGTTGAAAAACAGTGAATTTCTTTCTGATGACACTCTGTATTTGAAGCTAATATATATACGATTTTGCAATTAGAGCTATGGAGATTGTTTTTACACATCTGAAGTAATGAATCAATCATTGTTAGACCACCATTAGAAACCTGAAAGCACTGGACGGCCATTTCGTCCTGGTATGGAATTCATCGATGATTGATTGATGATTTCAAATTTGTAAAAGCAATAATCTCCATAACTATAATTGCAAAATTATAAAATTTGCTTACTAGTGACTAGCTTCGTGAGGCAGTTCTCGGAGTTCTAGTGAGAAGACGTGACCAGTGAATTTCAACCTTGTTGGGTGTAGGCAGTAACTGCCTAAGACAAATGGGTGAAGTCGTGCAAAATCCGGTGATCAATTAGAGTTAGATATGAACACCTTTGGATGTCGGCCCAGTGGTCCGAAGGTTAGGCATTCGCGCGCAAGACCGAAGGTCCGGGGTTTGAATCGTGCGACTACCAGGAGTCGTGGATGCGTACTGCTGATGAGTTCCATACCATGAAGAAACGGTCGTTCAAATGTGCAATATAAATACACAAACTTATTATATGTAAGCGTCCGACGAAAATTGACACAGAAATCTTATTAGGCTAAATTGTAGATCGATAATAAAGACGAATTTAACTTCTGAGAATAAATCAAAATCATCAAGGCATACACTAACGGTTTTATTTGTTTTGAGTACAATCAGATTTGTATAATTTGAAGTGAGTAGTATTTAACAACAACAACATCATCATCATCATCAATAGGTTTTATAATGTGAATATACAAACATGTCACATAACAATGATCATTTTTTTTATATACTGATTAATTCTAACTAATCGATTCTGTCAAATGATCTTTCTCTTTGAAAATTTGATCCTACTAAAAGTATTCCAATGAGGAAATGTTATTTATGTCAGTCAAATGTAAAAAAAAAAGTACATCACAACTGATCAGTCGTCTGTAAGACCTTTTTTATGAACTTATTTAACAGACCAGGTGATTGGTATAATCGCAACAACTTATCTGTATCATTGTAATTTTACCACCGTATTGTACTAGTTAAATTACAACTTTCAACCATACCCACTGACACTATACATCTCAGTGAACAACATTACTCTTAGGAAGCAACACCTCACATTAAAAGATAGACATTCATCAACACTCATTCTACGGACAACCACACAACCACAAACAACCATCATCAATCTGTCGACAAAGACATCGAGCACCAGTCCAACTCCTCTTTTCAGTTTTAGTCAAAGTGCAATATACTAACTTATCATATCATTAAATAAATTCTCAATAACTATGCTATGCCAATCAGACAACTACAAACAAACGAAAACTGAAAATTGAATTTATAACAATGTGATTTAATTACATTTTATGTTCAACAATTACAAAAAAAAAGAAGCTAATAACTCGAAGTAATCAAAAAATCAGACTGTACAAACACGTTTATACCATGATTTGAATTATTTTTACTGATTAACGTTTTAGTTAGCGAGTTAGTTATCTACGGCGTGGGATGGTCTCTAGACCTCGGCCCAACTCTTCTTATTTAACCTGGCTTATGGAGTTGCAGTAGCCTCAGAGATGATCAAGGCAGACTTAAGTCTGCATCATAACATATCATCGTAAATGCTGATGAACATATTACTACGCAACATGATAAAAAAAATGTATGCATATCATTGAAGTAGAAATCAATTTTGTTAGGGAATAACTCAAAAATCTAAAAACCAATAAAACTATAATCAAAATTAATATCCAAGTGCACAATCGATGTAAAATTATACTCAACTCCATTCAATAGTACAGTGCACAAACGTAATATGCATTGAATAATGATGCACTTAACAATTCACATCATTTCAGATCCTTATTGAGAAGAAGAATATATAAATGCTGTATTGTAAAAGGCTTACCCATCATCAATACAAACATCAAACAAACACTACCACTACAACAATCAAGAAAATGAAATCATCAATCACATTCATATTCATAGTAGCCATCGGCTACGCCGTGGCCCATTCATCATCATCATACGACGATGGTTGGTACGGTAATGGAGGAGGTGGTGGTGGTGGTGGTGGTGGCGGTGGCGGTGGCTATGGTGGTTGCAGTGGTGGTGACTGTGACAGTTATGGTGGTGACGGCGGCTATGGAGGAGGTTGCAGTGGAGGTGACTGCGGGTACGGTGGTGGCGGTGGTGGTGGTGGCGGTGGCGGTTGTAGTGGTGACGATTGTGGTGGTTACGGTGGTAGTTATAATGGTGGATGCAGCGGTGGATCTTGTGGAGGAGGCAGTGGCAGGTACAGCGGCGGTGGTAGGAGTAAGGGAAAAGGTGGAAAAGGTGGCAAAGGCAGTTTCAGATACAACCAATATTTCTAAGGCACCAATTACATTGTGGATCATTCTACTGTGCCTATGTCACAATATTCACTGTTCTCTTCTTCTACACAATACTCAATTCAACTCAATGTAATGTAGTTGTGTTTGAATTTGAGAAAAATAAAACTCATCAATTATAAATTGTGTTTTCTATGTATGATTTTTCAATGAACAGATATTAGTTTCTGTGATATTTCGAAGTATTGCGAAATTAGTGTTGTTCGTAGGTATGTGCATGACACAATTCACTGACTTGATTCAATAAGTACAAGAAACTATGCATGGATTCTGTCGATAGTGGAGATTGTCCAACTCTCTCAATTTATTGACATGTCTCAGTACGTTTGATCACTGATTTAGATTGTAGGTAAAATTGGCGCTTGAGTATGTGTCATGTCTCAGTTTATAACAGACTTTGTTGGCCTCACAGAACCACTCCATGACTTGATATTTTTTTGTTTGATGTGTTACCATATTGTGTGTGCAAAATGACTCAAATGATTTAGAACAACACATAAGCGAACAATACTGTCTTCGATTAGATCGTCATCATGCTTTAGTATACACGAATATTTATATGAAAATGTTAAACGAATTAAGCTAATTGGAGTCATCAATCACAATGAATTGAAATAGATTGTTGTCATACTAAGCAGGCGAAGTGATGACTCGTTTAGTAAAAGCGTTTACAGAAAAAGTCTCGCTGCTTGTCAGTACATTCACTTTTATAGTTTTATACCTCACTAGCAGAGCAAAAATGATCCGCTCATTGGTTACTTAAAGTCAGGAGCTGGAAGTTATTAACAGCTCACTGATCGAGATCGGCTACCTTAACGCATTCATAAGGAAGTATATGTTTGATGTAAAAAAAGAAATCAGAGACTTCGACCGCTCAAAAGAAGCCTTTATTTATTAAACTACAGTTCAACGGAGATGTGGCCTGCGATACTCTGCAAGACAGATTAAAGAGAGCAACTAGTAGAACATTCAACGTAACCAAACTTGCTCTGAACTTCTCAAGTCGACCAGTGATGTCTATCCAAACGAAGGATAAGTTACCTTAGGTGACCTCCTCTATTTGCATTTACAAATTTAGCTACTGATGTGGAGATAGCTATATCGAGCGTAGTACCAGGTAACTTAAACAACGAGTGAATCAACACCTCCCAGCATGGTTTATGAGGGGTCAGTTAAAAACAATACGCAGTTCTTTCTTAGCACATCTGGTTGATAGTGATGATATGGTAGATAAGTCTAGATCTTTTCGGGTGATCTGTCTTATACCTCCATCATTTCCCTGGGCAGTTCGAACCCGTCTCCAACACGTAGCAGAAGCCATAGGAATTCGTGCATTGAATCCCAATTTATGTGTTCGTGACGACCTTATCTCTTCCATGGCCAGATATGACATAACTAACGTTTAAATTTTTTTAAATTATATTTTGTTATTATTAGCATTATTTTCACATCCTGTTGGTAATTTTGTGCCTCTTTCCGTACATATTTTTCACTATCTTCTAATTATGTTCACACTTCTTATTACGTAATGGTTTTGCACTGTTTTTTAGTGATTATTTTAAGTCTGTTTATCCACGTCTGACCTGCTATTGATAAAACTTTCGTTATCGTGATTCCATTCCACACAAATTGATCACCATGAGCTGACCGCGAATTTTCATGATACTTCAATAATTCCACTGTTGTAGATAGTTTGCATGTTGCAGTGTGAACAGACGGAGAATTTGTCAAATAATCAGTAATGGACACATGACATTGCGCATTATTTGACATCACTTCAGTCTATGCATAAAGTTACATGCATCTTCATATCTTGACTTGTTTATTGTACAACACCTCTATGAATGCTTAGACTGTAAACTTCTAGTGTTTCATTCGCCACATTGTGTCACAACAACAGATTCACATATATTTTGTCAATCACTTGTAGAAAATTCCTTTTGTTAACTACTATCTATCTATCATACAACCGAATTCATGTTCATTAGGTCTTGAGGGTGAGCACTGTTTCATAGTTGAATTCACTTGTACAATCACATCTATCAATGAAGTCTTATGAAATTGTTAAGTTTCCGAGTGAAGTGATGTATGGTCAGATGTACATTTCTAATAAATTCACCGTTAAGCTCTGAAAATTTTGTTCCTAATCAACCATAAACTCTGTAAATTGATATTATTTGCAAGGTTAACACGTATAGATCATGAAATCGATCGTTGTTTTCATGTACTTTTCGTCTTGATTACATGCAACATGTATCATTTGTGAAATTGGAAGTTCAATGAATTAGTTTGGGAACGTGAAGTGTGGTGTGCTACAGTCGGTTCAGCAATATGATTTGTATTGCGAGAAATGTTATATCATAGCAACTGTGGTAATATTTCGTTATTGTAAAGCATAGGTATACCATAATTTTATAGTCGTCGCAGATAGGTGGATAAACTGCATAAAGCCGTTTTAGTAACAGAGGTTTGGTTTTGTGGACTTTTTGTTTCAGCTATATGTGTAATTAGCGATCTCAGTCCTTGTTCGAGACTTTTCGAAACTGTAGCAAAGCAAGGAAGGTTTGTTCTATTTCGATGCGGTATTCATTATCTACGAAATCAATGAGGAGAACTACAATAACAAGATGACATGAAGCTGAGCAACTTCAAGCATTCATTCAAAGTATATCTTTCAAGTCAACTTGTCAACATGTCACACACTGTATTGTCTCTAGAAGCAAGTCTTAGATAAAGTGTCTTTTGAGTGACAGTATCGACTCTCCTTCCGTTGCTTGGTTTTAAGAAAAACTGTTGACAAAATGGTTTGAATAACCGTTGTTCATTTGTGAATTTGTTAGTTTGACTGTTTATTGTTTCACACCATCGTCATAGAGAATAATTCTGTAGTCGCGTTTCTGATACACTAAATCAGTTTTGTTCCCTATTGAAAAGGTGTATTTATCAATCGTTATATTCTAGAAAAAATTCATTTCATATGCCAATCAGTCCATGTGGAAAAAAGAATATCCGGCAAGCTGTTCCTCTTCATTGATGAACCTCATTGAAGCTGGTCAATTGCACTTCAAGCAATGGTATGCCGAACTGATGAATGTCAAATAGAGCGGAAAGCGTGTCCTGAACTATGATGCAAGATGAAATGTAAACCGAAATGTTAAAACATGTTACAGCATGTGACAAATCGAATGCAATTCCTTGTAACATTGTTACTAAACTACAAAATACTTTAAAAATCCACCACGATTAATACCATTCATACTCTCTTTTCAAAATCAATTTTCTCACCCACTGAAATCCGCTAGAATCGAGAGACATTTCAACTGTGAATAGAGTTTCAGAATACCACATCCACTCAATAATTCTAGTACGTGGATTTACGTCATATGATTGAATGAATGTATCGTCTGGATTACCTCACTCGAGACTGTTAAAAGTGATGGCTCATCGCGTTCGAAAAACGGTCTTCTGGATGATGGAGACTCATTTAACTGATTTTTCATCTACACGGCAGACCAAACTAAAGGTGTATTCTATGTATGGAGAATATGTAAGGTTATATGTGAAATGCGAAGAGGTATAACACATCATACAACACGATTATATGACCTATCCGTCTCTTCAAAGCACTTAGTAATGTAAATAGAGTTCAGTTGAAAGCGAGTTTTAAGAATTTCGTAGTTAAGCTAATAATAAATAGATATCATTTTCTGACCAGACATTCAAAAATAAGAGAGTGAATGTGTCAGGAGACAGCAATCTCTGTCATAGTCAAATCGGATACATCGTATTTGATGTGATGGACTCTTTGAGGTCAGTTCGAATGAGATCTTTGTAAATTTGCAGTACCGTTTCAAACTATCTCAGTAATGCTAGTGAGGGAGCGTGTTGGAAGTCGGCATTGCATTTAAATATAACTTTCAACTAAGATTGATCATTTTTCAAATAGAGCTATTGAGATCATTGTTTTTACTCATTGAAATCATGAATCAATCATTGTTAGACCACTATTAGGAACCTGGAAGCAGTGGATGGTGGTTTCGTTTTGCTATGGGACTAATCAGCAGTACGCACCCATGACTCTTGGTACTCGCAAGATTCATGAGGAAATTCTCGGAGTTCTAGTGAGAAGGCATGATCATTGGAGTTCAACCCTGTCGAGTGTAGGCAGCAATTACTGAAGACAATCGATGAGGTGGTGCAAGATCCATAGATTGATCAGAGTTAGACATTGACACTCAGTGGGGTTCGGCGTTCGCTGGCAAGACCAAAGGTCCTGGGTTCGGATCTTGTGAGTAGCGGGAGCCGTGAATGCGCACTGCTGAAGTCTCCCATATCAGGATCGATGTCCGTCTGGTGCCTCCAGGTTTCTGGTGGTGATCTAGCAATAAATGATTCATGATCTTAATTGGTAAAATGGATCAATCCCGACCGTAGTTGCTACCTTGATGTGTCAGTCATGCTTACCTATCGTGATCATCCAGCCGAGTTACTTTGGCTTGAACATGAGTTCCTGTATGTTCTACCATGCTAGATAGGTGGATTAAAGATCGCTGAGACTAAAATCAGCAACTAAATGTCTAAGGGCGTAGTCGTGCTACTGATTGCAGAGAGGTGTGATAGAAGTAAGGTGTTTCCCTTGGACTGCCAGCATCTGCGGCGATGCTGCCTTCTCATTCGGAATGAAGGAGTAAGAAACGGTCAAACATAAAAATGTAAGGCCTCTAATGATTTCTGTCTCTTTCTAATAACTCTGATGCCTCCCATGAATAGGCCGTGTGTGACCGGCATCAGACAGCTGTCTCTTCAGTCCCACGGTCACGATCCCACGTTTTTAAAACTAACGATAATTCACCTTCCTTTTCATGTTCCTCAAGGAACACCTTCCCACTGTGTGCGCAACCTGCAAGTTACATAACCCCTCACACTTGCCATAGCACACGAGAGCAAACTGGTCACATTCCTTCCCAACATCTCTCTCTTATCACCAGGACTACACTTTCCTAGGTTCCTTTATCTACCCGCTTCGCTAATGCAAACAAATCGAGTTCATGAACCGTTATTCCTGGTCTCCTGGAACCCCGTACTAAACTACATATGTTCAAACCTTGTGTTAAATAGGA